CGTGAGATAATCTGAGCGGGAGGTTTGACATCGAAGTATAATGATGTGCACCGTCGATTATTGTCCGGTACACACCTTTAGAATTCGACTTTCGATAAACCGGTTGTACTCGGAGAGGTTTTTTACAGTTTCCCTCTCCACTGGCGAGAAAACCCATTAGACGGGTGGTCCAGGCAAATGCGAGTACTCCTAATTTTCAAGTCGCTCTGTAGGCGCAAAATTTAGTATTAAGAAATGTTTGTAAGGAATGTTTTACGGTTGTAAAAACACTTGTATAGCCAAGATTGTAGGCTTAAGACGTGTGTATAAACAAATAAATAAATAAATTTTTTGTCGTTAGACTGTAATAATACACTGGGATACCAATTTTCAGCTCATTAGGTCAAATAATGTAAAAGTTAGGGAAAAAGAATTTTTTTAAAAAATTTTTTAGTTTTTCCTTGGCAACGCTATGGCCATTATTACATATCAAGTTCTCTATATTTTTCCTGTAATATTCGAGTAAAAATACACCAGCATGCAAAATAGCCAAAAATCTTGTTATTTCCTTGACAACGCTATGACCATCACGTCCAATCACATTCGCTATATTTTTCCTGTAATCTACGAGTGAAAATACATATATGGACCAAATTTGAGCTCTTTATGTCAAATAGTTTAGCTGCTAGGGGGGGGACATGATTTGGCTACGGACACAAGAGTCTCACCAATAGGGTTCCGCCGATACACCGTAGGTGTACGGAACCCTAAAAAAGAAAAAAATGTTATTTAATATCTGAGTAATATATCATTTAAAGATAGGTTGTTTAGATAGCTCATTCTTGTCTTAATTTACTCTAAAATTTCTACACAAAAGATTTAATGAAGTAGAAGCGATCAAAAAAATGTTTACGTTACATTATAAAAAGACGATATTTTGTGCACGACTTTTAAGGGGAGGTTCTCATTGCGGAAGTCAAAAAAATTAATTTATTTTTTGTTGTATTTTCTGACAGCTATATATATGTAGAATATGTGTGTATACCGATTTTTTGATCCGAAGAATACTTTCGATTTTATAGAGTCTTGAACTCACCGGCGTCCCGAGCACTAAGTAACAAATCTCAGGCAAATCAAATCGATTTTTAAAAATTTTGCAATTCTGACCTCAGAATCGTAAAGAGCGACCCTAAATACCTAAAGATATTTATCATACTAGCTCCTCCGACGGCCGCAAGCGGCCGTCTACGGTGCTAGTTTTTATATGTCCATTGACCAAGTCCATTATTAGTGATTCATTCGGACGATACGACCCGAGAGGCGATCGAAATTTTTTTTTGTTTTCGTTTTAATTATCGAACTGTCATTTTGAATATCGTAATAGGACGAACTTCTCACCGAATCGAACAATCCGATCGAACAACCGAGAAGCTCGTTTATAATTATTCAAAATTTATTTCGGAAGTTGTAAACAATTAACTGAAAGGATGTTTTATAGTCGTAGTTTTAATTCCTTTTTATTATAAAAAATATTTTAAAGCTCACACAATTATTTTGCTACAATTATAATTTTTGAAACATTATAAGTGTACCTGTTTTTCACTAAATCCATTGATTACTTCAAAAATAAGACAATTTTATTAAAAATGATCTTTTTCAAAAAAACTTAAGTTAAAGTAAATGTAGCATTTCTTATAACTGAACGTTAAGAATTTAAAAAATGTATTAACATTATACTTACCTTTTTCCTAAATGAGTTATAAGAAAATATATTACAAAAACATAGTCTCTTAAATTTTTATCGTTAGAAATAAAATGACAACATTAAAAAAGACAATAATTTATTACTAATACAAAACATTAAACTAATAGCAAAATAATTTAAATTGATCGAACTCTATTTTTGAACATTTCATATTTTCCTTATTGAAATCTCAAATTTTTAATGACAACATTAAAAAAGACAATAATTTATTACTAATACAAGACATTAAACTAATAGCAAAATAATTTAAATTGATCGTACTCTGTTTTTAAACGTTGCATATTTTCTTAATTGAAATCTCAAATTGAATGCAATTAATTAAAATGAGATTTTTAAATTAACTCATATAATCCGCCTAAATATCAACCGTCTTTGAAAGAACGGAAAGTTAAACATTTTTTAACAATTGTTGATAGTTCTTGGAATTGTTTTTTCGTAAGTAACATAGTGTCGAGGATTAATATTTAATGGTAACAGTTATTACATTATTATAAATTACGTAATAACATAATAAACATCGAAGTAGAAATAAACATTTTCAAGTAGAAGATGATTGAATGCACTTAAAAATTGAATAATCTTTTTTGTTAGTCCAATCGTTAATGCATAATAGTTCTCTAGCAATATCTTTTCCCAAACGATTTCGATGCTTTCGAATAATTAATGATGAGCGGGAAAAGAGACGTTCTACAGGAACAGATGTAGCCTGAATGCTAAGGAAATCACGAGCCATGCGTGATAAATTAGGATAAATATTTTGATGATTTTTCCACCAAAGAAGAATATCCGCAGTTTCATGAGCACGATCTGAATTCACATAGTCGTCTATTTCTTTTCTCCAATTTTTGTCCATCTGGTTTTTGCGAGTTTGCTTTTTAGTTTTAGGAGTATCTCTTTTATATAATTGGAAAAGATCAATTTCATCATCACTTGAATCATCATTTTCAATTTGCTGATCAGAAATTTCTATTTGAGTATTGACTTCAGGAGGTGTTACATAATAGTTTTCTCGGTAAATTTTTTCAAAAGTTTTAACGGATTCTTTTTTCATCATTTTTCCCCACTCGCTTTTTTCGAATACTTCAATTTTATGTCTAGGGTCAAGTACTAAAATAGAACAGTAAATCCAATTAAATTTTCTGTAATGTTTTAATAATTTTGTTTGAGCTGCGTACAGAGCGTTTCGAATATTTGAGTCAATTACAGTCGCATCTTTATTATCAATTTCATGAATTCCTTCGTCAATTTTGTCCAATAATAGATTAAAAGCGATTATAACTAAAGGTAAAGTTGAATACTTCTCTCCTGAAAGAGCCTTTGAAATATATTTAAACTGTTTCAGGTATTTGTGAGCTGCAGCAAGGAGAGTCCAATCATTTTCGTTTAAGCAATAACTTTTAAGGTTTGCGTTTAAAATACATAAATGGTTCAATGCTGTTTTCATTTTAAGGGCTTTTCCAATCATCTCATCAGTAGAATGCCATCTTGTTTTTACGTCGATACCGGGTGCTACAAATTTCGTGTTTGTGGAGATACAGCAACATTCTAGTTTTTGTCGTAATTGCTCACTATACTTAATTTTAATAAATAATTTCTTTAATTTTTTAATTGGAGAATAATTGTCAATAATCAGATCATCTGTTGTCATTTCATCATCGCTATCGGCATCATCTTCTTCAATTTCATAAATTGAATCGCAAGCTTCCTCTTCTTTTATCAAATCTAATGCCTTCAGGAAATCTTGAGCACCTAAATTCTCAACATGTGCAACACAACGAAAATGTTGATTTTCTGCATCAAATCCAATACTTTCTTTATCCATTAATAATTTTAGTTCCGATATAAATTTTGTGTTGCTTGCCGCATTATCTAGCGTTATTCCTTCTACTTTTCTTTCAAGATGACATTCTTTTAAGAAATTAAGAAATATCTTCGCCATATCATTTCCTGTATGACAACCATTTGCAGGTATGAAATCCAATGTCAAAGATTTTAATTTCCATTCAGCATCAATATAATGACCTAATCATGGATATCAAAATTAATTTCTCTACTAAGTCAAAATTTTTACTATATCAGATTTAAAATAAAACACGAGCCATTAAAAAGTTAAATAAAAATACAAACTATTATTTTGCAAATTTTTTAAATATAATATTCAAGGTTACTTAGGTTTTTTTTATCAATTTAATTAACCATTTAATTAATTAAATAATTAAATCTGTTAATTTCGAATTATTTCTAATTATAGGCAAGAAAAAATATAGAAAAGTACACGAATAAAAGAATTTAGTCAAACAAATTTAATTATTTTCGAAAAATCTGATAAAACTCTTCGAAAGAATTCAATTTTGTAACAATATTTTGATAAACTTTAATAAGAAAATTGCTAATTTTGAATAAAATCTATTATTTTAACAAAATTCAAAGACATTGTTCAAGACAATTAAAATATTTTCAAAAGTTTGGGAATTTGATTATTTTTAAAAATGTTGATAAAATTCTCATTCAATTTTTAAGAAATAATCCATTATTCTATTAATTATTTATTTTTGTATTTAAATAAGTGAATTCTTGTGGTAATAAAGTTTCTATTTTTTACAGAGAAAAAAGAAATATTAATTTTACTACTCAATATGTGTGACTATTAAATATTCTATAAATTATCTAAATTGTATCAAATTAGATTTTTTTTAATTTTCTCTGTTAATTATTGATATTTTTTCTGAAGAATGCAAGTTTTCTAAATTTCAAACCAAAATTTTTGTTATATCGTTACTTTTATTATAAAATTTCGCATGAATCTAACTAAATCCGAAGTAGACAGTGAAAATTAGTAATATTTTGTTAAAAATAGTAAATTTCCTGACTTTTTAAGATTTTTTCTAATTAAAAAAAATTTCATGACAATTACAGGTTTTCCAGTGCTACGCTCATTTTTAATTAATAATTAATTTAATTAAATATATTTTTTTTTATCATTAAAAAAGAATTAGGAAAAAATTAAACAATAGAAATAAAGTGAAAATATTCAATTGTTAAATTAAAACAAAGGGCATCGCGTTGCCATGACGAAAATAGTTGTTTCATGACATTAGACAAAAACAAAGATTTCGTTACTCTTCCTTAACTCGCGATTCTGAACGGACGTTCAAATTGTTCTTTCTTTCTCGAAAGTGACAAATAAGGAAATTGTATTGAAGATTATTCAAATAAATATTACAATTATTAGAATATAATTAAATATTTTTTCTCCTTTCTCATTATTTCCAATATCAGAAGATATTTAAGGACTCTTCTAGAAAGAAGAAACTTCACTGAAAAAACATCCTTCATCCATAGGAATTTCCAGGTTTCTTTCTTTATTTCCACCTTTTCTAATCTTTCCTTTCCTATCTTTACGATCCTCTCCGTAGGATCGAAAAGTAACTTTTTCCTTTCTTCTTTATTTCACGATCCTCCCGCAGGATCGGAAATTGACTTTCCTTCTTTTCCTTCATTATTTCTCGATCCTCTCCGCAGGATCGGAAATTCTCTAATCTTTTTTTTTTCTTTTTCTTAAAAAAACTCATTCTTTTTTCTCTATTTCACGATCCTCTCGCAGGATCGGAAATTGATTTTTCTTTCTTTTCTATTTTTCTATTATTTCTCGATCCTCTATGTAGGATCGGAAATTAAATTATTGAAATAATAACAAAGAAGAAAAATTCTGGATAACAATTTTGGCGCCCAACGTGGGGCCTTAGGTCATTTGAAAATAACCCGAACCCTGAAATCTAAAACTTTTTCAACTTCACTTCCGGGAGTGGGATACAGAAAATAAACACCCGGTGGCGCCTGACGCAAAAATTTTTTTTTTATTCTACATACAAGAAGTTTTTGAAATGTTTTTTAATACTTCAATCGAAGTAAACAAATCGCCTTACTCCGTTCCTGTCACTATCATCAGAAAAGAGTCAAATCAACGTTTTTACATAAAATTTAGTCAATTAAATTCCGAAAAGAAATTTTCCAAATCAACTCCGAATCTGAAAAAATAAATCATCGATTAAATCTCAACGACATTTTTACCTGTTTATGGATCAACAAAATTATATCTTACCAAAGGACAACACTGGCTTTGTGAACGTTTATACCGACGGTGCATGTTCAGGCAACGGAAGGACATCTCCAAAAGGTGGTATCGGTGTTTTCTTTGAAGACAATCATCCTTTAAACATATCTGCTCCTCTCATTGGTAAACAAACAAACAATCTTGCCGAAATACAAGCTGCCACTCAAGCCGTGATCCAAGCAAAGAAAGCTGGTATATCGAAACTTAGAATAAATACAGATTCTAAGTATCTAATAAATAGTTGTACCGAGTGGATTCCTCGTTGGAAAGAAAACGGCTGGATTTCATCATCTGGAAGACCTGTAAAAACAGAAAGGCAGTGGAAATTTTAGAAAATACAACAAAGAATTTAGAAATCAATTGGACACACGTACCTGGACATCAAGGTCATCCTGGAAATTCTAAAGCTGATGAACTAGCTAGAAAAGGAATTGAAAAACCTATTTCTGATGACTTCTAGAACACCATTACTAGAAAGAAGAATTCTTCGCAACCGAATTATCGAAATAAATCCTCCTGTATCACACGCAAACATGGAAGAACTAAACCCTCAAGATAACTTGAGAAATTCTATCTTTGAAAATCAAAATGGTTTCGAAAATGACTCAGAAACCAATTTCTCCGGCGAACTTATAACTACATTTACAGAAATACCGATCACTAGCACTGCTGCAATCACCACGTCAGCAAATGGTCCTCACAACAATGAAAGACGACCACTTACATTTTTCTTCGATCAACAAACAAATTCGAATCAAATTTTTAGTACAGCACCTCAAACAACAACTTCCATCAATGAACCTCGCATATCATCAAGCGTTTCCGACAACATTGTAATCTAACCACCTTATGTCCAGTCATCGTATCAACCGCCTTCAACTGCTGATCCTCCAAGAACATCATCATCTTACTATCCAGTAGCTGCTCCTTGGTATCCTCCTGTTGATCCTAATTGGTATGCTTGGAGAAACTCTTTGGAAGCACAAAGAAACTCACTTCCCGTTCCAGAATTTTATGGAAAAGATCACGAGAATCCTTCAAATTTTTTGAATGAAATGCAGGAATATTTCCGTTTGCGCGGAACTCCTGAATCAAATAAAACCAGATTGGCCTGTCAAGCTCTGCACGGTGAAGCAGAAAAATGGTGGGAAATTTATAAAGGTATCCCTTTTGAATGGAACCAATTCCAGGATTTACTTCTTCGCCAATATGATTCACCTTCAGTACTTGGAAGATTACAAGCACAACTGTATTCACAACGTCAACACGATAAAGACCACGTGGGTGTATTCCTGCAAAAGAAGTTTTTATTATTTCGACGATTAAGACCATTAGAAACCGAAATCATTATGGTACATACCTTAATAGAATTATTAAAACCAAGCATACGTCATGCAATTCGTGCTTCTAGTCCACAGGATTGTCATACTCTTCTCACACGAGCTGTCGAAGCTGAAAGGGATGAATTCGACATGCTACGAACGCAACCACGAAGAGAGGAAAAGAAACCTTCGGAAAAGGAATCCAATACAAAAAAGACCCCCCCTGATTGTTGGTATTGTCCTGAAAAACATTTCCATCGTGATTGTCCTGTTTTTCGGAAACAAGTTGATGATCGCAAAAAACAAAATCAGGAAAACTGGCGAAGGGCGGTGGAACCATCCACCACCGCCAACCAGAAAAACAACCATTAATTTCTCTATATCTTAACCCTCAAGATTGTCATAGACTGCCACGTATATTAACGTTTCTAAATGATCAAGAGATTCCAGCAATTATAGACACTGCAGCTACAGAAAATGTTATACATTCTTCCAATTTAACTTCCAAGCAATTACAAGACCTCGATCCGTGCATCGATAGCGTAGATTTAGCTGCACCTGGAACAACAAAGAGAGTATTAGGAAAATTTGCCCTGAAAATCAAAATTAGTAGTCATACTGTCAATATAGAGTTTCTAGTATGTAATGAACTTAGGGAACAAATGATATTAGGCATACCTTGGATGACGGAACAACAAGCGATTATCGATATTCCAAGTGAACGTATCTATGTTGGGAAAGACACAAGATTCACTATTTTCTTTCTTCAGAAATCTGGTCCATTAACATCGACTTCACCAGAAAAAGAAGAAAAAATTAAGAATTTTGACCACGGATTTCCAGCAGAATCTACAGATGAATTCCTTAATGTTTTGCGTCGTTTCTCGAAAACTCTTATTCCTGATCCTTACTTAACACAAACTCGTTCTATTCAACACGTAATTGAATTAACTGACTCAAGACCAGTTCGACAAAAACCTTATCCTGCATCTCTCGAAAAGCGTCGAGAAATGTTAAAACAGGTACAAGAAATGCTGTCCAACGACGTGATAGAGCCTAGTACGTCACCATATTGCTCCCCCGTGGTTCTAACCGTGAAAAAAGACGGAAAGAAAAGGTTCTGTATTGATTACAGAAAACTAAATGCTATCACCCAAGATGTAAACCATACCTTACCTAGGATTCAGGATTCCCTTAAAGAACTAGGAAAATCCAAAATCTTTTCAACGTTGGATTTACGTTGGGGTTATTGGCAAATACCACTGGAGGAGAACAGCAAAAAATATACTGCCTTTTCCATCCCAAATGGTGGTACGTACCAATTTAAAGTTATGCCGTTTGGATTAAAATGTGCTCCAAATACCTTCCAAACACTCATGAGTCAAATAGTCTTACGTGATTACATCAACAAATTTTGTATATCATACCTAGATGATATTATTATTTATTCAAATAGTTGGATAGAACATATTCAACACGTCAATTTGGTCCTCGAAAGATTAGAAATACATGGATTAACATGTTCCTTCGATAAGTGTTTCTTTGGACAAACAGATCTTAAATATCTTGGTCATAATGTTCGCTCGGAATATAATGAACCTCAAGAACAGCATATTCAAGCTATCCTACAAGCTGCTCCACCTGCAAATAAAAAGGAATTACAGAAATTCTTAGGAAACTGTGGATGGATTAGAGAATATGTTCCTGATTTTTCTATTCTATCTAGACCACTTACCAACTTGCTGGGTAAAAAATCAGGTAAATGGACATGGACCACGGAAACCGACGAAGCTTTCCAAAAAATAAAAGAAGCATTTAAAAATGATTTGCGTTTGAGTCGACCCAATCCGAATTTTCCACTAAATTTACAAACAGATGTCAGTCCAAATGGTATGGGAGCGGTCCTTTATCAAATCGTCGATGGTTTACGTAATGTCATCAGTTATGCAAGCGCTAAATTTAGTCCAGTGGAAACTCGTTATTCTCGATTCGAACAGGAATGTCACGCAGTAGAATGGGCCATCAAACGTTATCGTCCTCAACTCGAAGCTGCACAATTTCATCTATATACCAGCCCCAAAGCCTTAAAATGGTTGCAAGTTTCTAAGGAAACAAAACCAAAATTAAGTCGCTGGGCTCGATTCCTGGATGATTTCGATTACATCATTCACGCACGTACAAACGCTGATTCAGAGTTGGTTTCTGCTTTGGCTCAAATACCAACAGAAGAAAACAATAAAGTTGAAGACACAAATTTACTACTTCCACCCGAAATTCGACCTCAAATAGAAACACCTTTTCTAGCTCAAATCACTTCATCAAATTTCTTCGAAGAAATCATTTCGTTACAGCAAGACGACGAAGACATCACTGAGCAGGCTCGAAGATGGATGACTCTGAAAAATAAAGTAAATTTAAATAAAACTGAGAACAAATTCGTCGAACAGCATCAATTAACCAAAGAAGGATTCTTTCAGAAAAAAAATTCTCAAGGTTCTTGGGTGATAGTAGTACCAAAAGTTTCTTACCAGAGATTGTTGTATGAATATCATGATTCTGGTCTTGCAGGACATCCTGGAGAAGAGGAAACTTTACGTGCAATCCAAGAACATTTCTTTTGGCCAAAAATGACGAAACAAATTATCGAGTACGTAAAAAGTTGTAAACTTTGTTCCTGTTGTAAATCCTTTCGATCACAGGGTACCAACGAAGTCCGTCCACGTCAACCAAAAACTCCATGGGAAACAATTGCTGTGGATCTGATGGGACCTTATCCTCGATCTCCTCGAGGAAAACGGTTTTTGCTCGTGGCAACGGACCTTTATTCGAGATGGGTTGAAGCCTTCCCCTTAGCTTCCTCCAAAACTCATCAAATTACTGCTCTACTGGAAAGAGAAGTATTCAGTCGTTTTGGTTACCCTAAATCTATCATCTCAGATAACGGATCTCAATTTACCAGTGATAACTGGAAGAAATCGTGCGAAAAGTGGAGTTGCATTGCGTGGTATACACCTATATACCACCCGCAGGCAAATCCAACCGAACGAAGAAACCAGGAACTAAAGAAAGGAATGAGATTCCGCCTGATCAATTGTGAGCACAAACATTGGGACTCTGGACTCGCCGAAATTTTATTTAATATAAGAAATCGACGCAACGCGGCAACCGGACGGACGCCGAGTCAAGTCTTGTTTGGAACGTCGATGAGAAAACCTGGAGAATGGGTTTTATCGACTAAAGAAAACTCTTCCTCACAATTAAAGGAACAAAATAAACAAATTGATCAACATCAATCCCAATATATCAAAAGATATGCCAAACCTGATAAATCTAAGAAAAGATTACAGGTCGGTGACTTTGTCTATGTACGAACTCATCCGTTATCCGACAAAGAAAAGGGATTTAATGCAGGTTTAGCTCCCCGTGGAGATGGACCCTACGAAGTAAAAAGACATCGCGGTGGCGAAATTTATGAAATCGAACTAAAAAATCAAATTGCCAAAATACATAGTAACGACCTTCGTTACGCCCATCCTCGTAAAAAATCATTCCTCGAAACACCTCGTGAGTTGGACACCACACAAGAAATCGACAATCAGGAAAATGAAATGCTCGACAAAATTGATCAACAATCAATTCCCGAGACAATTTTGATTCCAACGCGAAGAAAACCTGGTCGACCTCGAAAGAAAAAAGTACTCGAACCACCTGAAAAAATAAACAAAATTAGTACAGAAATTTCAAATTTTACACCCTATAACTTACGTTCAAAAAAAAAAAAATAAAAAAAAAAATATAAAAAAAAAGGAATAATACATTTAAATTCAATAATAAACAAAAAAAAAAAAAAAAGAAATAAAAAATTAGAAAGCCCTGCAACTTCATGTTATTTGAGACACATTTGTTTAACTTGACAACGGAAAAGGTTACAAATAACAAACAGTTGTCATCAATCATGGACGCAAGCAAGGAAGCTTCTACTATTCAAAAAGTGAAAAAACCCAGTCAGA